GTAAGCCTGAAATTATGAAAGTGACTTAAGCCAAATTCAAATTAGTTTCATAGTAGTAAAGATAACATATGTTATATAATAAATAAATAAAATTTTACGTGTCAAATACAACTATTTTATTTTCATTTTTTTTTATTTTACAAATGGAAGTGAGGGAGTATATGATTTGACCAAGTTCGACTCTTGCGGGAGCTGTCTATTTGTCCTTTTGGTTTGAACCCATTAACTAAGGGTAATCTAAGCTAGTTTACCTTATTGTAATCCTCTGCTAGCTAGGGTTATAATCATGGTTGAAAAATCGCTTATTTTTTAAAAATTTATTTAAATTTTTTAATTTTAAGACTTGATGATTATAAACTATTTAATACTTTAATAGTTAATTAATACTAAAATATTATATATTAACCTACAAAACATCTAGAGTTTGAACAATTTAGGTTTATTTCGCTTAAAACGATGTCGTTTTGAGTTAAATAACGCTTTTAAAAAAATAGAGAACAATAGCGCAGCTAATTGGCCGATTAGGCGACGTAGTCGGTGCCTAGGAGGCCTAAGCGGTCAGCGCCTAGACCACAGATTATGGTGATACACTAGGCGTCCTGCCAGCGTCTAGCGCCTAATCAGTGCCTAGGCGGGAATTTTACAACATTGGTTATAATACATGATTCATCCAGAATGTACCTTTAGATAACGACTGCGGACTTTTCCGTAAATTAAAATATATGATTTGAATCTCACATTTCAAATCTATAATGTAAAATTAAAAATAAAAACCCTACACAGTAAGGTACTTTTAATTTCGGGGAAATCAATTATTTTGTATGCTATAATTGAGCATCCAAGGAAAAAGAAAATGCGGAGTTTGATGGAATGAACAGAAGAGCAAAGGAAGGGTACGGTTATAAATTCAAGAATGATTGATGTTACCAATGCTAAGGCAAAGAACCAAAACTTTAAGCACTGCAAATTCCTACACTACATGTGAAGCATCAAATGACATTGTAGCTTAAAGTTGTCTCCTAATTCAGTTGTTCTCCTTGGATTAAGAGCATTTTACAGAATTTATAGATACTCTTGCCGGCCTGCCAAAAGTGCCCTTAGCCCTTTGTCACTTATTCCCCCTACTACACCACCCTAATCTCACTATTTTTTTTTAAACAAACAACTAAAATTCATTAATTTAAATCATCCGAAAAATCAAAAAACATTACAAAGGAAAGGAGGAAGGTAAGAAAATCGTTCCTCCCAACCTGACATAGAAACAGACTTCCGAGCTAAAGTATGAACAGTCGGCAATTTATATCCTACACCACGGCGTGCGTTGCACTATGCGCCCAGATGCAAAACGACGTCGTTTTAATTTTATTTTTTTTTGAAATTTCCCGCCCCATTGAATGGAAGTAGTTTTTTCTTTAAAAAAAAACCCGCTGTTCAAGAATGTACATAATGTTATACTAGAATACACATAATTGTATACATGAATGTACATAATTATATAGCAAAATATACATACTCTTTTTAAAAGATAATACACATAATCTAACACAATACATAATAAACATAAACTTTTAACATAATACACATCAACTATTAACATAATACACACAAATTTTCTGATTCGGATGTACATAATTGTATAAAAAGAATGTACATAATTGTATAAAAAATGTACATAACTGTATGAACCAATACACATAACTGTATGAACAAATACACATAACTGTGTGAACAAATACACATAATCCCAGCAACTTCCTACCGCGCCTCCCAAAACGACCCCAAAATGACGTCGTTTTGGGAGGCGTGCGGCTCACAGTGCTATGTGCGCCGTGGTGTAGGATATAACGATTGTGAACAGCCCGATTCAGAGATCGTTTAACGAAAGAGATATATAGACACATTGGAAACCAACTAAGCCAATCTTTGATGTCTAACATAATCAAGTCATAAAAAGAAATTCCTAAGTAGAATGTAAATTTTGCACTACAGATAAGGATTCAGTTTCAACAAAAACAAAATCAATCTAATGAAGCTTAAGCCAAGTCAGGGCTTCCCGAATAGCCATTGCTTCAGTCTCCTTTGGTGAAAAAACGCCACTCCATGGGGTGCACTTGACTGAAGTGTTAGATCTAAATATAGTCTAATCATATATAATAGAATCTACGAGAAACCTAACCTCGTAGTAGCGAAATTGTTGACACAATTTCGTAGAGTACATGCAAGAGGTTGGAGACTACTGGACCGTCTTGACACCTGCAGCAAAGCCATCTAGAATTGGGGAAAATCTAGATAGGGAAACAAACTTCCAACCTAGAATTGACGCCCAATTGAGGAGAATCGAATCGTTGAGGAACAAATCAGATGCCTGGAGTTTGGACTTATTTGCAGAAGCTCAAAGATCATACCTTGGCTCTGTGTGGTAAAAAATTGGCCTATAGGCCAATTTTGACTTATTTGACCACTATTAATTGTTTGATTTAGTTAAAATATCAATATAAATGTTTGGTTAATTAGCTTTTTGCAATTTCAAAAGGTTAAAATTCAAAAAGCTACTCCAAGCAACTTTTTCAATTAGCTTTTTGAGAAAAGAAATTATACCAAACAGCTATCATCTAACAGCTAATTTACCAAACACTTTTCTACAATCAGCTAATGTTATCAACTATTTATACCCTCTAATTAACACAATCAGCTAACAGCTATCAGCTATCAGCTAACAACCATTTTACCAAACAGGGCCCTTAATTTGCTAACCCAGTAGAGCAATTTTTGAAAACAACGGGAAAAAGGCATTCAATTTTTTTTTTTGAATGCTACTAGCTCTATTACAATGTAGTATCTGTTCATATACTACTGAGGCTCGAAATCACAATCTTCCAAATGGAAGTCCAACCCGGATACCATTAGACCACATAGTCCTGGTTAAAAGGCTTATTTTACGCTTATCTCTCAAAATTATATATATATATATATATATATATATATATATATATATATATATATATATATATATATATATATATATATATATACGAGTTAATTCAATTTTTTGTCATAGATTTATAAGCGGCAGTCTACTTTTAGTCATTTTTCAGAACATTCCATTTTGGTCCTAGTATTGTTGTGGCATGAGCACTATATATACAAAGTGGGTTGACCCACTATATTTTTATTTTTATTTTCTTGAAAACATTTTATAATTGAAGACCTAATGTATTTTGCAAAATTTCAACTATTTTATTGACGAATGACAAAAAATGATCATGCCACAATAATATTAGGAACAAAGGGGATGTTAAAAAAAAAATAATCACTAGAAATTATGTTTTGCACGAAATTCACCATGAGAAAATGCAGAAAGGGGAAGGGGACTGAAAGGACTATGTATCAATCACGTGCAGTTCTCGTGCATTAAGAATGTCGAAGTACAGAAACGAACCTCACAAGACTATACGTGCAGTTCTTGTGCATTTAAGAAGGAAAATACTATATGTATTCTCATTTTTTTTACTCTGTATTAGTGTAGTCAATAATATGTGTGGTCTAGATTAGTAGACCACATCCTTAGCCTGTTGTATAGGAAATACATAGCCTTAGTATACTTGTAATCCTATCAGTTTAGTGATAATTCAATCACAACAGAATTCCCATCTCTCATTTGGTATATCCCTTCTCTTTCTCATCTCTCATTTGGTATATCCCTTCTCTCTTTTAGTGTCCGTCATATTGGGGAGTAAGATTTGAGAGTCCAATAGAACTCTTTAAGAAATTATATAGTATAAATTAATTAATTGACAAAAATAATCGGGAAAAGAAATGGATAGAGGAATAGATATTTATGTTGTTGCTGCACTTATTCTCTAGTTTTATTTTAAATTTTATATTTCTTTTCTGAACTTATGAAATGTACAACCATTGAAGCCCCTCCACACTCTATATATCTAACACTCTTACATACATCACCCTCCGATCCCTTCTCATGAGACAACAAATTACAATTTCATCATAAAACCCTAATCTAAAGTATTAATTATACAACGAATCTAATTAGGGTTAATTCAAGAGAAGGAGAAACTCAATAAAAAAATAATCTCAAATTTCACTTTTTTTTTTCCCCTCCTATAGCTAGGACCAGACTAGCTTGTCATTCAACTATTTTCAATTTCTTTTTTTTTTTCCAAATATAGCTTGTAACGGCCGCCGCCGCCACCTCCTCCGCCATCTTCACATGACAGTGCATCCCGTAGTGTCCTCATCATCACTGTAATAATTGTCCTGTGGAGGAGGGTTGGGGTAGGATGGATAGAGAGGGGATGGAGGGATGTAGCCGACGGCCGGCGGTGGCCGGAAATACATCGCCGGTTGAGGATAGGAATTGGCCACGGCGGGCTGCTGGGGTTGGAGTGGGTTCCTGGCCGGAGCCTCAGGATAATTCCCAGCATGCACGGCGGCGCCACCAACATGCACGACGGTAGCTGGGATGACTTGGGGAGTAGGAATTTGGCCCATTTTCAATTGAGTACCCGTTGGCCCCACATTATCCCCTGGAGCAGCTTTCACGGGCACGGCCATCATGTTCGGCGGCGTCACATGAGCCGCACGTGAACGGTCATTTATCATAGAAATTCCGGCGCCGCCACCAACTGCTGCTCCGCCTTGGCTATTGTTTGCATTACCCACCATAGGGGGTGGCGGCGGCACATCGTCCATCCCGCCTTCCTCCTCCTCATAGTCTTCAATAAAATCATCGTCTTCACTATCATCGCCGCTGACGTCATCAATCTCCGGCAAGTCGAACTTGACAGATTTCGGGATCGGAACCTTGACACCGTCACCGTTCACGGGGACGTTGTATCGAGGCGGAAGCTTAGTCATAAGATCTTGTAGAGCATTCATCTGCTGAGGATTATGCATAGCCGACGGCGGATGGTTTCCACCATTGGTCGGCGGCGGCGGAAGATGGGTGTTATTACCCATTTGCCCTCTGCCCTTCTTCCTTTTTGCACATTTGCCGTCCTCAACCCGCACGCCATTATTTTCCTTGGGGTCACCAATTAGCTCAGCATGCTTGCCGTTCTTGTTCAGCGTTCTGATCAACGTCTCCGGCTCCACTTCGCCGGAGACGGTGACCTTGCCCACCTCAGCTTCGAATTTTGTGATGTACACGCCTACCCATACATAACAAAAATTCAAAGTGATTTTCAAGAAATAAGAACAATAATTTTTGGATATTTTGGGTAATATATTTATATATGTATGTATACCATCAATCTTTTGCAAGATTTTCTTCACTTTTTGCTTACAGCCTTCACAGTGAATGTTTACTTTTAGGGCACAAGTCTGCATGAACATGCCAACCAAGTCAAAACTCAAAACAAACCACAAAAATTGAAAAACAAAAAACAAAAAACAAAAAAAAAAAAAAAAAAAAAAAAACACACACACATAGTACATAGAAAAACGTTAAAAAATTGAAAAAAAAAAAAGCAAAAAACAAAAAACACAAGAAGAAAAGAAGAAAATGAATAAAAGAAAGAAAGAAAAATTGATCAACAATGGCGCACGGAGTTTGCCCAGAACATACCTGGATCTTCAAGAACTGTACTTCACTCATTTTTTTTTTTTTTTTTTTTTTTAATTTTTTCACTACAAACAGAAAACACAAATTGAGAAGAAGGAATGGAGAAATGGGTGTTTTGGTTTGGACTAAAATGGAATTGAAGTGATGAGGGGAAAAAGGCTAATTTCTACACCCAAAAAGAGCTTCTTGGCTTTGTCATCTGTTAACAAAGTAAAAGGTCTTCGAGAGTGACAAGAGCCGGCTACACAGAAGCAAAAGTTTCAGTATTTTAAAGGAAAAGGAAACAGTATAGCGAGAGAGAGAGAGAGAAGAGAGAGAAATTGAGACTTCAGAGTTCAGAAGTCTGCTTTCTATTCTATTTCAGAGAGGGAGATTGGGTGAGAGAGAGAGAGAGAGAGAGAGAGAGAGAGAGAGAGGGCTAATTGGTACTGGGCGGGTAATTGTTGAGACTTGAGAGTGAGGGATTGAGGAGATGGAACTCATGGAAGGGTCTTATTATAGGCTTTGGGGCAGTAGAAAATAATTTACTATTAACACCATCTCCAACCAAAAAACACTAAATTCTGCACCAAAACAAATATTTCTAGCATATTTTTACATCAAATTTTTTTAATCTCCAATCCATTTACACCAAATTTTATTCCTACACTAAAATAATTTATATTATTTTAAATTAAAACTTTATATTTAACTTTTATTATTTTAATATAACATATAGTTGTAATTTAATAAATTAAACTTTAATTATGTTTTATGTAATTTTATTTTTAATTAAATTATATTCAATATCAATCTTGTTTTAATCGTCTTGATGAGATTTTTCAAATGATATAATTTTTTTAAAACAATATACAATTTATGTTTAAATATTTAACAAAATATGTAAATATATAAAAACAAAAAAGGATACAAAAAGAATTATAAAAGAAGATAAAAGCAAAGCATTTTCTGAAGTATTTCTTTCTTCCTATTTTGCCCTGCTTTGCTTTTAAATATTTAACAAAATATGTAAATATATAAAAACAAAAAAGGATACAAAAAGAATTATAAAAGAAGATAAAAACAAAGCAGGGCAAAATAGGAAGAAATAAATACTTCAGAAAATGGTGTGGATGTACAGTGGCGCGACACTGTACATCCACACCATTTTCTGAAGTATTTCTTTCTTCCTATTTTGCCCTGCTTTGCTTTTAAATATTTAACAAAATATGTAAATATATAAAAACAAAAAAGGATACAAAAAGAATTATAAAAGAAGATAAAAGCAAAGCAGGGCAAAATAGGAAGAAAGAAATACTTCAGAAAATGGTGTGGATGTACAATGGCGCGACACTGTTCATCAACACCAAATTATTTGGTGATTTGGCGACAAGGTTGGAGCTCGTTCTACACCAAATATGATGGTGAAATGATGTTTTGACGACAAGGTTAGAGATGGTCTTACCCAACACCCATCCCTGTAAATCCAATTTAGTAGTATATTTCTCTTTTAGCCCCCTAATTATAGTAATATATTTATTTTAATCATATAAAAAAGAAGAGAAAAAGGTAGATGATACTGACTAATATTGTCTAGTAGGCAATGCGAGTGGATAGGGAAAGAAGTAGATCCCATCAAAACAACGGTAACATGTGATCACCTCATCTCCATCAGAGACTTTAAGATGAGTCCATTTGAGGCGTAGTATGATCCCTACTTATTTTAAAACTGTATTACTTATCTATTACAATTATCAAATGATTTAGGGAAGTATACAAAATTTTAGAAAGCATCTTTGCTTTTGAGAACAAATAATTTATGAATCTGACTCACTGTAACATGTTAAGTTTATACATGTCGTTTTTTCATGACTAATTTCGTAATATGAAAAAAAGATAAAATCTTTAGAAGAACTTCAAATAGTAAAAGTTCAAAATAAATACATTCTTGGTCGAGAAATTAAAATATAAAAATATCTATAGTGTTAAAATATCAATAATATTAAAATATTAAATTAAATTGAAAATTTCAATTCAATCTAATTATAATAAAGTCAAAATATCTATTTACAATTGCAACTATTTTATTATGTTTTAATAGAACATATAAAAAAAAAACAATATCTATAGTATTGTGTGTGTGTATATATATATATATATATATATATATATACTAATAACACGTAAAAAATAAATTTTGTAAAATAGATTGAAATTTTTGTAAGTAAATTAATGAAATTTGCAGGTATATTTAGTAATAGAACTCGTTTGTAAAATACTAAAATCATAGATATTTTACTATTTAATCTATTGCTAGTTCTGTTAGTATCTTATTTAACGTACTATTTTCTTGCAGTGGTAGTTAAGAAATAATCATTATTACATGGTCCATGGTCCACACAATTGTGTGGACCATAAATAAAAAATATATTTTTAATATACTAAGAGTACATTATTTATGTACGTAAGGTACATTTTTGGAAAGTACATTCACTGCTGGAAATCTGCATTTTTTCGACCACCAAAAAGTGGTCGGAAAGGGGTATTTTCGGCCGGAAATGCAGTTTCCGACCAACTTAGCGACCACTTTATGAATTCGGAAAAAGAACCCTAACTATTACCGACAACTAGTCAAGGTGGTCGGAAATACCGGTTTTTTTTTTAAGTCGTCGGAACTAATAGTTGTCGGATAAGGAGAACATATTTCCTACCATTGGTGGTCGGTAATTGGTCAGAATTACCATCAATCGGTGGTCGGTAAGATTTATCAAGAAAAAATTAAAATTTGTATTACCGACCACTACAGTGGTCGGTAAGATTTACTAACCAAAAAAATAAAATTTAAAATTCTACAAACAATGTAGTCAAACAAAAAAATAGATCATATATTCAAGGCATCATTAATTGTCAGCTCATACATGGAAAACAAACAAGACCAAACAAATTACTCCATAGTTAATTAGAGAGATCCAAGCATATGATTCATCCATTCTCCGCAGCCTCAATCCCCTTTTCTGCTGCTTCTATTCCATATATGAATATTCAAAAATCAAAGAACCTTGATGTGTAAGTTAGACCATTTACCTAGGCTAAACTGTAAACACTTGATTACACAGTGCCCTTTAACTTGGTAAAATTTATCATGTACTCAGGGGCTTAAATTCTATTGCACACACATGATATGGTGGATAATATCAGCAAAGGCGTTCATTACAAATGAACTTCATATTCAATGTGATTGCACCACATGTTCACTTGTACAAAAGAAGAGGAATGGAACTTAAAAGAAACATGACAATTATTCTTTTGTATTGCATTTGATGTGTATTTGAATTTACTTACAAGTTCATTTGAAATTAAAATGCATGTTTAGCACATTGACATCAGTATGAAGTGAACCAACTATTACAATACAAATGGCTAAGTACACAAACACTTACCCGAATCAATCTCCCTCGCCAGTTCGATCATTTCCTGACAAGGGACAAATGACAAGTTTAAATTACTGTACATCCAAATATCAACAATTGGGCAATTGGCATGTGGTAATTATACACATAATTTCCCTTGGGTAATAGGATTACCATATGGCATACCATACATCCAACTACACACATATATATAATATATATTGTTGTTATTGGCATACTTTGTGTCATTAGCCCTCTTTATCACCACCTCCACTGTCCTGCATCATCTCAGTAAAAATGTAACACATTTTTTAGGTTACAATGAAATCTGTAGCCACAACCTAGAGTGTGGAAGAGATAAATCTTGCCTACTAACTCTAAACAACGGGGAGTTAAACTAGACCAGTCTAGATTGTCTAAATTGACAAATTCAAATAAAAAAGACTAATAAGTGACTCCCAAATTGGTTTGGGTTGCCCCATCTGGAATTGTTAGTACTCAATAGTATGAGATTGATTGAGCTTACTTGAATTTCAGTATAAGCATAACAGGTCCAAAAATTTCATCTTTTGCAATTAGCATGTCATCCTGCATGAGGCAACAAAAGCATATATAGAATGTTTTGGATTCTCTGCATATTGAAGATTTTAACTGCATCCATCTTTTTATGATTGAATTATAGTGTAGAAGGTTTTTACCAGACATCTGTAAATATAGTTGGCTAGATGAAATAGCCTTTTCTGTCCAGTGGCTTACCACCAGTTAGCAATGTAGCACCCTCCCTCTTCCCATGCTCTATATATGAAAGTATCTTCTCATACTGGTTTTTGCTAGCCTAAATGCATCAAATAGACATGTATGTTAAAGCATATTGGTATTGGTAAACTTAATGGTGTATATGGCTTGTTTCAAGCAAACTAGATCATACTTGGGGTCCCTGTCGAACATTTGGATCAAAAGGGTCACCAACCACCTTTGCTTTCGCCTTTGCGACTACTTTCTTAACAAACTTGTCATAAATTCCTTCCTGGACAAACACTCGTGAGGCAGCCGCAAATATTTCACCCTGCCAAAATGCCAAATTAAAACCCCAATATCAATCAGTATATCTACATGCTAAGAGTTGAGGAAAGGAAACTTGGGATGGAGATTACCTTATTATATGTGACTCCAGCTAAACCAAGATCCGAAACCTTGTCAACATCTACATCATTAAAGACTATGAAAGGAGACTTGCCTCCCAACTCTAGTGATACGGGTTTTAGATTGCTAGTTGCTGTAGCCTGCATTATCTTATGCCCTACTTCTGTCAACCTGTAAAACTAACCTGAGAGGAAATCATGAGACAAAAGTTTTAGTTAATAAAGAAGGCTAGCTATGGTTTTTTCTTTTCCATCTGAATGTTTACCTTCCTTAGCTTGACTATTTAAGACATTTCTCTTTCATTGGGAATGTGTATTAAGGGAGATTACCTTATCAATGCCCATGTGAGAGCTAATGGCGGCACCAACAGTAGATCCAAATCCTGTAATCACATTCAGCACTCCATCAGGGACTTCTGCCTGTTTGTAGATTGAGAAAAACATAGTATTTAATTATATAAGAAGGGTAACAAAAAAGAAAAAAGGAAATAAGATGAAGCTTACGAGCTTAGCCAAATGAGCATAATAGAGAGCAGAAAGGGTTGTCTGTTCAGCAGGCTTGACAATCACAGTACAACTAGCTGCTAATGCGGCGGCAACCTTAAACCCAAATATTTGTGCCGGATAATTCCAGGGAATTATGAGTCCTACCACACCTATTGGTTCACACAATGTGTATGCTTGGAGCTCACTCGACATCTTGAGAGTGGTGCCATGGATTTTGTCTGCTGCACCAGCGTAGTAACGAAAATACCCTGCTGTTGAAAGCACATCTGCATACTAAGATGTGCACTAAAGTGCGCAAATGATGCTTCCATTTTCTGGACGGTCTCACAAATACTACCGTATTGCTCTTCCATATCCTTGTGCTGCTATTGCATTACTTCCCTTTCCTCACGCCACCAGTGGCCTCCAACCACACTGCTATTTCAGCCATTTCTAATTGTTTTTGCTTCAAGTGAGACACAGTTTCCTGAAAAAAAAAAAGCATAATGAGACCACAAAGATTGGTGTATAACCATTATAAACTGTAAAGTGGAAAAAATTGTACTTCTACTTTTGTAGGCGTTGCAGATCAGAATATTCAAGCAAACAACATGCAGTTCATTCATTCTTAATTTACAGCTATTAAACCAACAACATAAATACCTTAGCATCTGCTAATGAATGAAAAATCAAAATACCCCAACATCTGTCTATACTTGGGGATGAGAAAACTTCAGAACCTTACCATGTTTTCTCATGTTTCAAAAGATTAATAGTTTAGTCAAAGAAAGGAACCCCAAAAGTAATTTACAAAGTATAAGGATAAATTCAGATATTTTTTAAAAAATCGTTTAGAAGCAAATTGTACGTACCTCTACTTTGTCCCATGCTCCTTTTCTGACATCAGTTTTCAAATTTGAAACAATAACAGAGCTAACTAACTGTCGATGCATGCCCATTTGAGTAATCTACAAATTCAAAAGTTGTGAACACCTATTTTGTTAAACTAATTAGAGAACGAAGAGATTGAATAAAAGAATAACCAACTTTTCATGAATTGTCTTGCTTCTTCTTAAAACGCTGGAAAAAAACATACCTGATTCTTGCTCATAGCCAAACAGATTAAAATGACTAGACGATGCTACTCGTCGCTCGTCGACCAAATGCTGCTACTCGGCACTCGCAACCGGAGCTCGTTGACCAGATGTCAAATTAGAAAAGCTTGCCTTTCATTGGTACTTCAACAAGCATTCTAGAATTCCATGGTGGCCCGAGAAAGAAAGCCTTACAAGACACTAGAAATCAAAGCAAACCACTATAAAAAAATCAACAATATAAAAAGGAATACAACAATAAAACACTACACAGACAGCAACCATCTAACAAGATAATGACAAGTGAATCTCTTCTGCTCTTCACCATCATTATAATGAAAACATCATTTAAGACTTGTTTAGTCTAAAATGAATAACATTTAATTCTCAACTATCTGTATGGACTATGGAGGGCAAGCTGATAAAGCAAGAAGCTTGATTAAGGATTAAGTGATTAACTAGGTTACACTTTAAGCTTTTATTAAAGCAATTGTGAACCACAATCAACATCAAATAAATGCAAAATAATTATGAGCCCTAACAAACTTGTAATCATCTTATTTGATCTAGAACGAAACCTCCAAACCTTAATATGCAAGTTCCAATACATTACATATCTAAGCATTTAAGTGCACAACCAAAAGTCATTTCACCTCATATATAGGGGTCGTTTGGTTCATGGAATGTCAGATTACCTTAGGGAATGTTAGATTACTGGGAATGTTAGATTCATGTGTTTGGTTAAAATTGGGGTATGTAATATAATCATGTTTGGTTTAGGGTTATCTTTTATTCACACACTATAATATCCTTAACATATTTCCATATATTTTAATAAATTTAAAAATTAAAATAAATAAATAAAATAACAGTATCATATATAATTACATGATTTTAAAATATTAACTAAAATATTGAACTTGAGAAACAAAATTATTTTATATGCTAATCTAACATAATAAAAATAAAAAATATATAATTACAAAAATAATTATATATATATATATATATATATATGTGTGTGTGTGTGTGTGTGTGTGTGTGTGTGTGTGTGTGTGTGTGTGTATGTGTGTAATAAACTAACATAACCAAGGTTATCTTACATAACCTTAGAAATTGAAGGGAATCACATTCCCTTCAAAATCCTATGTGGAGGGAATGTGAATGTTAGATTCCTTGAGATAATGTGAACCAAACATAGGAATGTGAGCTTTGGAATGTTACATTCCCTTGGTTATGTTATATAACCTGAACCAAACGCCCCCATAGTGTGATGATATGGATGTCTCAACTGATCCTATTGAATCTAGTGATGAAGAGCCAGATATTCACTATTCACTGACTTTATCTTACGAATTTAGGGCTTAAATTATGATTTAGGGATAATGGAATTAGGAATTTAGGGATTAGGGTTTAAGATTAGAGTAATCGAAATATAGAACTATAGAACTAACCTGTAGCGCAGCAGAAATGGTGATGCCGACGAGCGACAGTGATGGCGACGAGTGACTTTGACGGCAAAGACCCAGGTGTGCGCTGCTAAGGAGACGAAGGAGACGAAGATCTGCTATTGGTGGGGGAGGCGGGAAGAAGCAGCTAAAGCGATGGCTTCTATGAATACAATAGATTTGCTGTGAGAGACTTGAGTGGAATAAGAAGAAGAGAGCGGTGTCTTAAAAAAAAAAAAAAAAAAAAAGAGCGGTGTCTTCAAAAAAAAAAAAAAAAAAAGAGCAGTGTCTTTTAAAAAGAAAGAAAGAAAGAAAGAGAGCGGAGAATAAATTAGCTAGCATATATATATATATATATATATATATATATATATATATATATATATATATATATATATATATATATATATATATATATATATATATATATAGAGTGAATTCCATTTTTGGTCCTACTGTTATATGAGTCTTTCCACTTTTAGTCCACCATAATTTGTTTTGCCACATTACACCCACTGTTAGTAAAATCGTTCCAATTTTAGTCCACGTTAGTATTTTCCGTCATCTGGCCATGATTTGAAGGGGCATTTTCGTCATTCTTTTTTGTTTCTCTTCTCCTTTCAGTTGTTCCCCTACTGATTCCAACTGAGTTTGGAGTTTGCGTTCCACTCTCTCCCCTCGCGTCTGTTGCAGTGATTAGAGCTTGGAGTGAGTGTGGAATGCCTGCGGCGATGGAGGCCGGAAACCTGAAGTCACTCCAATCGAAGCCGTACGACGTGCCGTGCCGCCTGGAGTTAGCGAACGTGCCGGTTGGAGCGGATGAAGTGCGTGGAAGGTTCGAGGTCGACGACGTCAGTGGCGGAGGCTGTGAAGAGGACATGAGAGGTGCCGAGGTGGTTGAAGTAAACTGGGCGACGCCACCACCTTGCTCTGTAGATGGCGGCGCAGTGATTTTGAGCTTTCACATTAGGCCTAGTGGGCTCACAGTTTCCTTCGAAGGCCAAGTCTATATTTTTCCTATCGTTACTCCAAATAAGGTCCAACTGTTATGTATGTGTTGTAGTTCAACAGCTAAATATTTACAGTATGCGGTTCAAGCTATTATTTGTATAGATTTTGTTGTGATTTTGGTTTCTATCATAAATTGCAACCCAAAAGGTTTGTTTTACTGATTTCCTTAGTAGAAAATCGTCTGTTTTGAGAAACAAAGAGTAAAGTAAAAGAAACAAAAGAGAATGACAGAAATACCCCTTCAAATCACGTTCAGATGACGGAATGTCTAATGTGGACTAAAATTGGAACGATTTTAATAACAGTGGGTGTAATGTGGCAAAAAAAATTATGGTGGACTAAAAGTGGAAAGACCCCTATAACAGTAGGACAAAAAATGGAATTCACTCTCTCTCTCTCTCTCTCTCTCTCTCTCTCTATATATATATATATATATATATATATATATATATATATATATATATATATATATATATATATATATATATATATATATATATATATATATATATATATATATGTTTCCGACTACTGAATGTGATCGGAACAACGAATATCAATTTAAAAAATTCGAATGGCGAAAATATTTCAATATTTTTTCGTCCAGCCCAATCCTTTGACGGAAAATTAAAAAAATACCACCTTTTCCGACCCTTTTTGTGGGTGGTCGGAAAAGTGGTCAGAATTTAAGCATTTTCCACCCGTGATTTTAAATATACTAAGGGTATATTATTTTATATAATGTAACTTTAATACAAAAATAATGTACCTTTAATACAAAAATAATGTACTTTTAATATATTCAAAATGTACCTGATATTGGTCCACACAAGTTGTCACGAGATCGATGATGCCTCTTTTGATCTTCGCCATTGTCCACAGGGTATCATTCCACACCCTTTCATTCCTTGCTAGCCACCATACCCATAGATACGCAGCGACATTCAAAACATGGACAGAAATGCTGCTACACAAGTTGGCCTCTGAAAATTCAACAAGAGAATTACCATGTAACACCCCGTGTTACGATCCTCAAACCCGGAATCAATTATGCAATTGATTCCAACAAGAACAATTAGAAAGAATAGAATTCTCCTTAACTGATTAATGTAGTCCACAATGGGTCATGAACCCTTGCCCAAACCCTAAACCCAATATATATATATATATATATATATATATATATATATATATATATATATATATATATATATATATATATACACGCATTATTACTATCCTAATCGTCTACCGTATTTAGACATATAAATACGTAAACTTATACAAGAACCGGGCAACTCCCTCCCATCTTCATCTTGATCGCCAACCTAACTCCCCCCCTCTCTCTCTCCCTCACTCTCTCTCTCTCTCTCTCTCTCTCTCTCGACATAAGAAGAAACGAACCATAAAACCACAACCCAGATCCCTTGTCTCTCTCTCCCTTTCGGCAGCGAACAACTCCGGCCGAAGCTACGGCGGTCCCCTAGGGTTTAATTATTCTATAAGTTCGATTATTTAGTGAAAGTCTGATTTGATTTACAGGTTTCACTAATGGTGTTTTTGGATTGATAAGCGAATAAGGTAACCCATGTCTCAACAAAACCTATTTTCTTTGCTATAATCTTTTTCTTTGGCTCCCTCTATATGCTTGTGTCTTGATGAAATCTCCTATGATAATTGTGATATGATCTTGATACTAGATGAGATGATTTTATGTGTGATCTTGATGATCTTGATGATGATAAGAGGATCTTGATGATTCTGTGATGTTCTTGATATTTCTTGATATTAAAGATGAACTATGAACTTGATGATTTAAATATGATTAGAGCCCTAGGTTGAATCGTGAATTTCGTATAGGGTTATTCTTGGTATATTTGGGTAGGAATTCGCATGTTCGGGTGTTGATTATGTTTAGAAGACATGATAGGATGTGTTCTATGTGATTCTTGCTTTTGATCCGTTAATTGTCTACGCGGTGTCATCATTTGCGTTTAAAAGTGTCTAAGCATGGTTTCGGGTTCCACGGAGGATCCTGGGACTTATATTTTAGAAAAAGAGTCAGTGGGGGTAGGGGGACCCGCCACCTACCCGCTGCCCGAAGAACGCCGCCGGCAGCGCGCAGCTGGCGGGCAGACGACTGCCCGCCGGGCACCCGTTGCCCGGAGGTTCATCGCCGGCGGGTGGTCCTCCACCCGCCGGCCACCCGCTGGAATTTTCCCACTATGGGACTTCGGCTTCCCCGTTTGATGTTCTCCAACCCCCGTGGTGTCCCAACGGACTCCGTTTATCGTGCATGAGTCTAGTTTGATGTTTCGGGTACCATTCGTAGGATAAAAGAGTCTTGTGTATTGCATGCTAGTTGAATCGGTAACCCGTTGGCCTAGGAGGAAGATGTATGAACCCCTTAGGACTATTCTTAGTATGTGGATAATCACGCATAAGTTTATTTACACGCTCTCCCCCTTCCCAATGTGTTAATATGTGTTTACTATGTGTTATGTGTGCATGATACCCCAATTTGGTTGCGATCAAATTGGTTATACATGAGATGCGGTTCATTATCTTGGCTGCGGTCAAACTGGTTACTCATTAGCTGCGATTCATTATCCTGGCTGCGGTCAGTGACTCACTTCTAGGGCTGCGATCCACCCCATGGGCCTCGTGTGCTTTGTTCCACCGACTGGACGCGTCAGGCGGTGTGTAGGGCCATTAGCCCGAGGAAAGCCATAGTCCACCGAATGAGTTGTCAGGCGGTGTGTAGGGCTATGGTCGGCTGCGATCCACCGAGTGTATGTGCCAACGGTGTGTAGGGTCGTAGTCCCCAAAGATCATTGCCCACCGAATGAGTCCCTCAGGCGATGTATAGGGCTTTGATCAGCTACGACCCACCGACTGAGCTCGTCAAGCGGTGTGTAGGGTCGCAGTCCTCAGAAGAGGATCACAGTCCACTGACTGAACGCGTCAGCGGTGTGTAGGGTTGTGATCCGCCATTGAAACTATCGACGGTCTATACAATTGGCTGCGGTCAATTCCTTCCTGCTGCGGTATGAGGTAGGGTGCTGCGGGGCCGTGTTAGCGCTATATGCACTAACCCTCATGTTTGGGGCATGCGATTGGTCACGTGGCGCCACCAAAATTGTGCTTATGTGATAATGATATTGATTGAATGACGATGTGAATGATTTGAAAGTGAACTGTGACCTTAGATACGTGTCTTTATAATATTGTCTCTATACAATTGATTATCGTTGTTGAATGTGTTCGTCCCTATCTGTCGAGTCTAATCCTTGTTTTAAAAGCTAGAGTCTCCTAAGTATATATCTTCCTGCTTCAAAATGGTTTTCCTATATATATATATATATATATATATATATATATATATATATATATATATATATATATATATATATATATATATATTGTATTTCAACGCGTTGGAGTGGGTTAGCAGCATTATTCGCTGAACAGATATATTTGGCTTTCAGACACAGATGAGTAAACTCCGGAGCGCGCTAGAGATCTGAAGCATAGATAGTTTGTTTTCCTTTCGGCCTGCGTGCCATGATGATGTATTGACATTACTTTGAGGATATTTAGTTAGTATAGCCTGTGCATCTGAGTTCTCCAGCTCAGATGTGGCATAGCACCCCGCACACTTATGTTTAGTAATGCTCTGTTTTGGGATTTAATGAGAAATTACCTTTATTATATAAGTTTTAAAATTTTCGAAATTCTGGGGTGTTACAGATGGTATCAGAGCCTAAGTTCGACCCCAGGACAATGCCTTTAGGATAAGACTTTAAAACATTAGGCTTGAATTCTAAGTGTTAGAGATCTTTAGGAAAGAACTTTAGGACATTAGGCTTGAACTCTAGGTGTTTAAAGTACTTAGGGTATAGGAGCCTTAGGACGCGCGGTGAGACTGTGAGCTTACCATTTCCATTTGAGTTCCCGTACTTGTTCTTTACCTAGCTTCAATTCTTTTAGTTAAAGCACCAGGTAAGGGTGCGAGTAGATAAGTTTACGTCCATAACTGGGTAACATACACATACCCGGTAAGACTCCTCACTCTAG